GTAACAATGTCAGGGACTGCTAAGGGCTGCTTGTGAATATATGTGTGTGTTCTGCCATTAAGAACATCTTAATAAATGTTAACTATTGTTATATGAACTGAAGCAAATGTTTTTGGCTCCAAATTCTGATGGTCTGGGTGAACAGAAAGGAAAGGCTGAGAAGTGGGAAAAGTTGGGGATAACCTAGAAAACTAACTAGGTTTGGCTTATGGAAGGCCTTGAAAGTTGGGTTTTGGAGCCAGACATGGTGGTGCACACCTTGTTACTTTGGAGTAAGGGTAGAACAATCTTGAGTTTAAGGTTAGCCCAGGCAAAGTCAATGAGATTCTGTTTCAAAAACAAAATAAAGGCTAGGCACAGGTGGCTCGCACCTGAAATCCTAGCTACTCAGGCAGCTGAGATCTGAGGATCATGGTTCAAAGCCAGCCTGGGGCAAGAAAGTCCCTGAAACTCTTATCTCCAATTAGCCACCAATTAAAGGTGAAAATGAAGCTGTGGCTCAAGAAGTAGAACAACTAAGCCGGGCGCTGGTGGCTCACGCCTGTAATCCTAGCTACTCAGGAGGCTGAGATCTGAGGATCGCGGTTCAAAGCCAGCCCGGGCAGGAGAGACCGTGAGACTCCTGTCTCCAATAAACCACCAGAAAACCGGAAGTGGCACTGTAGCTCAAGTGGTAGAGCGCTCGCCTTGAGCTGAAGAGCTGAAGGACAGCGCCCAGGCCCAGAGTTCAAGCCCCACGGCCGACCAAAAAAAAAAAAAAAGAAGTAGAACAACTAGCCTTGAGGCCAGGAGAGGTGAACTGGCTTTGCCTCTGTGAGATGTCTCCCAAAGGTAGTACCCAGGCAGGAAGGCATCAGGCAGCCGCCGGTGAGCACCTTGCTCCCTTTCCATTTTCTTCATAACTTCAGGGAAAAGTGTCAGCTTGGTGCTCACGGGTCTCAGCTCTGCACACTTACTCATGCATCTTTCAAATAGCCCAGGCTCCCGCACTTGGCAGGTGAAGAATCTTCACTGGAATCTAAGAACATTGTTTTAATTTTATTGTAATTACATTTGGGGTGTCTTACTATTGAAGGCATATGATCCTTGTTTTTGCTTTTCTTTGAAAGTGATTTGAATCTGCTTTTGCTTTTTTTCCCCTTCAAAGTGGGTTTTTTCAAAATGGGGTTTGAATTCAGAGCCCCACACTTACTAAGCAGGTACTCTAATAGTTGAGATCCTAAATATTAAATACATATCTACGTGGCTTGGATATAGATGCAGCACTTACTATCTGTGTGATTCCGGGCAAGGCACGGGATAAATTCCCGAGGCCCCGTGTCCTCACCTGGAATGACATGGTTCAGTCTCACAGATTTTCAAAATAGGAGTAAGTGAGATGAGCAATGTCAGTTGCTGGCTGCTAATACAAAATACTCACTGCTATTTTTGCTGTGTAGTCCATACTGGCCTCAAACTTGCTTTTTTTTTTTTAATTGTAAAGTTGATGTACAGAGGGGTCACAGTTAAATAGATTGGGCAATGAGTACATTTCCTTTTGAACAGAGTCACCAGGCCCCTCATTCTCTCCCAGTTTTTCCCCTCCTATCTTTCCTTCCCACCCAGGCCTCACTCTTTTTTTTTTTTTTGTCAGTTGTGGGGCTTGAACTCTGGGCCTGGGCACTGTCCCTCAGCTTTTCAGCTCAAGGCGAGTGCCCTACCACTTGAGCCACAGCGCCACTTCCGGTTTTCTGCTGGTTCATTGGAGATAAGAATCTCACAGACTTTCCTGCTCAGGCTGGCTTTCAACTGTGATCTTCAGATGTCAATCTCCTGAGTAGCTAGGATGACAGGTGTGAGCCACCGCTGCCTGGCCTCACTCTTGATCCTCCTGTTTTAACCTCTTTAGTGCTGGGACATGTGTGACTATGCTGGTTCAATGCTATTAACGCGCGCACACACACACACACACACACACACACACACACACACACACACAAACTTTCTCACAGTTTTATTACGGTCAGTGCAGCACTGTGGGTGGAACCCAGTCCACGGCTGGCAAGTGGTCTGCCACTAAGCCACTCCCTCAGTCCCCTGCTAAAACAATTCATCTGAATTTTGTTGTGTGCAACAACAACATCTCCACTGCCGGGTGCAGGGTGAGTCAGGACAGTGGGAAGGTGTCAGGCGGAGAAGCCCTTACACCCATGGTTCTCAGCCAGGATGGTGACACCTGCCAGTGACTGGCCATGTTTTTTGTTTTGTTTTTTTGTTTTTGTTTTTGTCGGTCATGGGGCTTGAACTCTGGGCCTGGGCGCTTTCCCTCAGCTCTTCAACTCAAGGCTAGCGCTCTACCACTTGAGTCACAGCACCACTTCCAGTTTTCTGGTGGTTAACTGAATATAAGAGTCTCATGAACTTTCCTGCCCGGGCTGGCTTTGAATCATGATCCTCAGCTCTCAGCCTCCTGAGTGGCTAGGGTGACAGGTGTGAGCCACTGGTGCCCGGAGGCCCATGTTTTTTTTGTTGAGGGGAGGTCTTTCAGGGTGCTAACCATCCCAGAATATTCAGGTTGCCGCTCTCCCAGCCCCTCCCACTGAGGCTGAGAAGCTTTGTTGCATGCTACGCTTTGCAGCACCGGTGTGTGCCTAGTGTCATCTGTCTCCTCGTCCAATTTAGAATTTCCAGAACACCTCGGAGCTGGACTGCAAAGCCCTCAGCCTCAGGCTCCTCATGCAGCACGTGGGAATGCTGAAGCTTGCTTTGTCCGGAGCATTGCATCTCTGATCATCTCTTCTCTTCCCCTGACCCTAGGAAAGGCAACTCTGGTTGGCTTTTCTGCATTTGTTTGACTTCGGAGTGGCCTGTAGGGCCCCAGTGCCACCATCTGAGCCCTGCGAAGGAGGCAGAGTAGTGTCTCCATGGTCTCTGTCCCCACTGGTCTCATCTCCTTGTCTGCTCCCTTGGGACACACGGTGACTTGTGTATTTGATTGTGTTTGTGTGTTCACTCTACTTTATTCCTCCCGAGGACAGACACTACACTTGCCTGTGTACCTGGCACACTGCCCCATGCAGGGCACATAAAAGGACCTCAGAAGTTCACTTGCGAAATGTACCAATGAAAAGGCAGAGAGGAGAGAGAAGAGAGCAGGGGCGGGGGGGATAGACATGGAGATTGAAGAAAAAAGCCATGGAGAAGAGGCCTGCAAAAATGAATGCTAATTGTTGAGAGATTCCAACAGAAAAGGGAAATGGGAAACTGGAGGGTCTAAGCTGAGCATGATGTAGCAGACTGAGGGAGAGGAAGGCGAGGAGAGGACAGGGAGAGGGAGGGGAGGGCCAGAGGCAGGGGGAAGGGGCAGTGAGGAAGAGACAAGCCGCAGAGCCGAGGGAACCGGGCTCATTGAGATCTCAGTGCTGGGATTGCAGTGAAAACCGCCTGCAGTAGCAGAGCCTTGAGGTTGGGAGCGCAGGGATACAGGAGTGGTTTCCATGGAGACAGGGATGCTCCAGGCATGAGTGAAGACAAATTACAGCAGGGCCAGCCACTCTGACACCCAGGAGAGGAAGAGGGAGAGGAGGGGGAGGGACAGTGTGTGTGTCCCCTACCCAACCGCTCCCCCATTCTGCCACTCCCTGGAGATTGGAAGCTCTTCAGAAAGGTCCTAGGGGTGCCAGAGGAGGGGCAGGGCCTGCTTGATCCCCTCCCTTCCCCCACCATTGATGTCTGACCCTTATACCCTCTCTGCTTGGGTACTGGAGGGTCTGCAGGGGTTTGTGGGGACACAGATGGTCCAGATTTTTCTGCAGGCTCCTCCTCTTTTCTTATTGATAGCGCACAGTGCACAGGACTTACTCCTGGACTTCTCCAGGGCAGAGAGGAATGTAAATGCCCATGGGTGCCCGCAGTTTCCAATTCACACCTGCAGCCTGGCTGTCCGCTGAGCTTTGTACTTGCCTCTCTATTTGGATGTCCAGGAGCATCCTCAGACTGTGGAGGGTAGCTCACCTGGCTCGCCCTCGCTCGGAGCTTTGCACTTTCCACTCCCTTTCCCAGGAACTCTATGTCTCAGTCCTCAAGGGGTGGCGAGCCCCATGAAAGTAGAGAATTATCTTGGCAGAGGCGTGCACTGGAGGGGGGAGGAAGCCACACCAGAACATGGGCCAGGTCATGGCGCCCTGGGGGTCCAGCATCAGGAGCGGGAGCTGGCACTGGACCACGGGGGACGACTAGCTCTGGGCCACGGGGGGAGGACTGGCGCTGGGCCACGGGGGAGGACTGGCGCTGGGCCGCCGGGGAGGACTGGCGCTGGGCCATGGGGGAGGACTGGTGCTGGGCCACAGGGAGGACTGGCGCTGGGCCATGGGGGAGGACTGGCGCTGGGCCGCGGGGGAGGACTGGCACTGGGTCACGGGGGAGGACTGGCACTGGGCCACGGGGGAGGACTGGCGCTGGGCCACGGGGGAGGACTGGTGCTGGACCACAGGGAGGACTGGCACTGGGCCACGGGGGGAGGACTGGCGCTGGGCCACGGGGGAGGACTGGCGCTGGACCACAGGGAGGACTGGCGCTGGACCACGGGGGAGGACTGGTGCTGGGCCGCGGGGGAGGACTGGCGCTGGGCCGCGGGGGAGGACTGGCACTGGGCCACGGGGGAGGACTGGTGCTGGACCACGGGGGAGGACTGGCGCTGGACCACAGGGAGGACTGGTGCTGGACCACAGGGAGGACTGGCGATGGACCACAGGGAGGACTGGTGCTGGGCCATGGGGGAGGACTGGCACTGGGCCATGGGGGAGGACTGGTGCTGGGCCGTGGGGGAGGACTGGCGCTGGGCCACAGGGAGGACTGGTGTGGGGGCCACGGGGAGGACTGGTGTGGGGGCCACACTGCTGGAGGTGGGAGGGGCTGGGACCTGGGGAGGAGGCAGGCCGCTCCAGGGTGCCCAGGCCCCTGGAGTAACAATCCCTTCTCTTCCTTCCTCACTGCGGTGGTGGCCCCGCTACTCTGCCCAGCTCTGTGCCTTGTTCTGGGCTGCATGATCTTCCCTGACGGCTGGGACGCCGAGACGATCCGGGACATGTGCGGGGCCAAAACAGGGAAGTACTCCCTGGGGGACTGTTCGGTGCGCTGGGCGTACATCCTGGCCATCATCGGCATCCTCAACGCACTCATCCTCTCCTTCCTTGCCTTCGTGCTGGGCAACCGGCAAACGGACCTGCTGCAGGAGGAGCTCAAGCCGGAGAACAAAGGTAAGTGGGGGGCGGGTTGGGGGGCACCGGAGGGCCCGGGGACCCCGGTGGGGCAGCTTCAGGCCCCAAGTGATGCAAACACCCGAAAGCTTACAGCAGTGGAGGACTATCTCCCCGATATCTGCATGCTAGTAAGGGAGAGACATGACAGCCCCTGAGCAGTGTCCAGGAGTCTGGGGGGCTGGGACATCACAACAATCTGGGGGCCAATGCTGGGGTCCCACCATTCCTCTCCACGGTTGTGCACATGCGTGCACGAGTCTGTGAAACAACACTGAGAGCAAAACATGGAGCTCCTCTCGGCCACCGCCGTCTCTCCCAGCCCCTTCTTGCCTGTGCAGGTACGGGGCGGTGGAGTGCCGGGCCTCGCGTGGGGCTCCGCAGCTCAAGCTGGGCTCCACTTCAATACACTTTGCACCTTTCTTCTCTTCTTCTTCCTCTTCTTCTTTTTGGTTGGTCGTGGGCCTTGAACTCTGGGCCTGGGCACTGTCCCTGGGCTCTTTAGCTCAAGGCAATCGCTCTACAGCTTGAGCCACAGCACCACTTCCGGTTTTCTAGTGGTTTATTGAAGATAAGAGTCTCATGGACTTTCCTGTCCAGGTTGGCTTTGAATCTCGATCCTCAGATCTCAGCCTCCTGAGTAGCTAGGATGACAGACGTGAGCCACCAGCGCCCAGCTTTCCTTTCTTTTTTGTACTGAGGTTTAACCTTTGGTCCCTCTGCCACTCAAGCGACACACACCATCATCTCTGCTAAGCTAAAGGCCAGGTGAACCTGAGCAATGCAATCGCAAACTCGATTTTAAGAACAAAGAAATGAATAGAAATGCAGAGGGTAAGAGAATGGTAGCAGCTCGGGCTGGCCCTGGATCAAAGCATTCTCCTGCTTTTAGCCTCCCAAGTGCTGGGATTATAGGTGAGTACCCCTATGTCCAGTTGAGTTATAGTTCTGGCATGATACCATTCACAGGTGTTTAGTATGGTATGCCGGTCCTCAGTGTTTCCATTTCAACTTTGGATATGTTTAGTATTAGTAAAATACAATAAACAATTTGAGGCCAGATGTGGTGGCACCCATGTGTACTCCCAGCAGACAGGAGGCTGAAGCAGGAGGATCTTGGATTTGAAGCTAGTCTGAACCACATAATGAGACCTTATCTCAATACAAAAACAAAACCCAATTGCTGCATGACTTCAGAGTGTCGGGCTAGCGGCTGCTACCAGAACTTTCCTTGCACGTGTGCACATACTCGCATGTAAGATGAAGGGATGAGTTTATCTCTTCTCCTTCCAAGTCTTTACTACTCCTGACATTGCTGCTGCTGACATCTTTCTTCTGCCTTCTCTCTCTCTCTCTCTCTCTCTCTCTCTCTCTCTCTCACACACACACACACACACACACACACACACACTCTGTCACACACACTCACACATGCAGTGTGTGCCATTCCCTCCGAGTTTTCTTGGAATTACAGGCTAAAAACAGTACCAGTTGAGCCAGGCAGCTGGCGGAAGGGGTGGTTCCAAGCGAGGCCTGCTCACCCCCAGGCCCAGCCTTCCCTGAGCCAGGAGACAGTCCTGGCCCTGGCTGTCGGAGTGTGTCCTCTTTCCTGAGAATGGGAATAGTGACTTTCAAAATCATACCTTCCAGCCTGGTGCAGGTGGCTTATGCCTGTAATCATAGCTACTCAGGAGGCTGAGCTCTGAGGATTGTGGTTCAAAGCCAGCCCGGGCAGAAAAGTCCGTGAGACTCTGAGACTTTTATCTCCAATAAACCACTAGAAAACAGGAAGTGGCTCTGTGGCTCAAGCAGTAAAGCGCTCACCTTGAGATGAAGAGCACAGGGACAGTGCCTAAGCCCAGAGTTCAAGCCCCATGACCGACAAAAAAACAAAAACAAAAACAAGAGTCTCATGGACTTTCCTGCCCCGACTAGCTTCAAACCATGATCCTCAGATCTCAGCCTTGTGAGTAGCTAAGATTACAGGTGTGAGCCACTCATGCCCAGAAAGCAGATTGAGTTTAAACATTACTTAACCTTGTGTTTCAGTTCCCTGCACTTCATCAAGTGTGGGTGATGAGAATAACGCCACGTTTTGGGGCTGTCATGTGAGCCATTGTGCCAGCCACGGGTTGGCTTGTGGAGAATGTTCTGTATCATAGACACTACTTTAGAAATGGGCATGAAATCCCAGGGTCAGAGAAGCCCAGTAACTTGGCCAAGCTTACCTAAGGATTTGGACACAGCCCCAAATGGCCTCACTAGTTGTCTTAGCCCAGCGAGGCTAAAGAATGAGTCTCCTTTTTAGGATCTTTCTTAGATGCTGGTCTGCTAACTTGTCTATAGACATTCCTTCTGGGAAGAGACCCTCAAACTTGCTGGTTTTCTATGGTACTGGTGGGAGGTCAGGGTCTGCCCTCTGGTGGTAGCTCCCAGAAGTGCAAGACCATGACTTATATGGACCCGCTGGGTGGTGGCTCATGTCTGTAATCCTAGCTACTATGGAGGTGGGTTCAATTCTGCAAGAGCAAAAAGTCATGAAGACTCCATCTTGACCAATAAAGTTCTGGGCATGGTGGTGCACACCTGTGATCCCCCCTGTGTGAAAAGCATAAATAGTAGGAATATGACCTAGGCAAAAAGTGAGACTCTATTTGAAAAATGACAAATGCAAAATGGGTTCAAGTGGTAGAACAGCAGTGTAGCTAGATTAAGGCCCTAATTTCATACCCCAGTGCCACAAGGAAGGAAGGAAGGAAGGAAGGAAGAAAGAAAGGAGGAAGGAAGGTAAGAAAGAAAGAGAGAGAGAGAAAGAAAGAAAGAAAGAGAGAGAAAGGGGCTGGGAAGGTGGCTCAGTGGTAGAGCGCTTGCCTTGCATGCCTGAGGCCCTGGGTTCGATTCCTCAGCACCACATAAACAGAAAAAAGCCGGAAGTGGGACTGTGGCTCAAGTGGTAGAGCGCTCACCTTGAGCTGAAGAGCTGAGGGACAGCGCCCAGGCCCAGAGTTCAGGCCCCACAACCGGACCCCCCTCCCAAAAAAAAAAGAAAGAGAAAGAGAGAGACAGAGACAGAGACAGAGACAGGGAGGGAGGGAGGGAGGGAAAAGGAAGGAAGTCCCCCTCATGACCCTGTGTTAAAACTTCAGCATCTGGGCTCTCCATCCCTCACTGAGAGTTCAAGATAAATAAGCCTTGCAGTTCACTTCTGAGCCAGAGTTAAAAACAAAGAAGAAATGGATGCCACCCATTTTCAGCTCTCCTGTCAGTCTAGCTGCATGACCTCTGGTGATCCGTGGAATCACCCATTTTCACCGGCTTCACTTCCGGCCCTCTTCTCCCCTGGTGATGGACTGAGGGGCGCCGGTGCCCTGGCTGTCTCTGACTCTCCAGCTCTCTCTCTCCCTTAGATTTTGTGGGCACTACAGTAAGCTCTGTGCTGCGACCAGGAGCGGACGTCGCGGGCTGGGGAGTCCTGCCCTGCCCTGTCACTCACTCCCAGGGACCCTGAAGCCAGGATCGCGCAGCCCAGGAATTGGCCTGACCACAGTGTGTCCTGTCTGCTGCCCTCTCGTCCCCACACTCAGGTTTGAGGGAGGACCCTGATCTCTGACTGACCGCTTGTGGAAGGCTGGCCAGGACCTGCAGGCTTTCAAGAGAACACAGGGCCATCTGCAGCCTGGGGGGGAGGGGAAAGGCCCCAGACCCTGGGAGGCCTGAGCCAACCCTGCCTCAGTTTGACCTAAGGGGGCCCAGGTCCCCTCAATTCCTTGGGCCCCTCCTATCCTGTTTAGACCGGCTGGAGGCCCCTTTGCAGATTCCTAGGGGCAGGCGGCCCCCAGGATGGGGAGGGGGGGCTGTGGCCTGCTGTGTCCCTGAGCCCTCCGCCCCCCCCTCCCCAACCCCATCTCCCACAGAAACTTCCTCAAGACACGGCCCTGGGTGGGCCAGACTCTTTCCTACTGGTTTTGGTTGTTGTTTCTTTGGTTTTGCTGATGATGGGGTTCACCCATCTGCCACAGAGCTCCGGTACCACCAGCCCCCGGCCTCTTCTGCCCCGTTCCAGCCTTTCCTTGACCTTTCCAAAGGAATCTGCGCTGGGCTGAGGCTGAGGGAAGAGTCTGGGCTCTTCCCACCGACTGCGGACTGGGCCCCGGTCGACCAGAGTCTGACAAAAGAGGCCGCCGGGCAGCCGAGAGCAGAGCGGCGGGTTCGGGACCAGCCCGGCTTCCTCTGCCGGACGGGCGGACGATCGCCAGTGACTGCGCCCTCGGCCTTGGCCTGTTTTGTACAGCACAGACTTCCCGGTCCTGCGGCCGGGGTTGGGGGCTGGAGAAGGGGCCATGGGGGCTGCCTCCGCCCCTCCCTGCTCCCCGCCCCCGGCCTCTGCAGCGGCAGAGCCGGTCTTGCCTCTTTGATACTTTTCTGCATAACTTGAACTTGCAGGTCGCCTCTGAACAGGGTACCCTGTCCCGGCCCCGCGTCCCCCCCACCCCGCCCCCGTCCGCCTCTCACTTGCCGTGTGCCCAGGGCTGCAGCCCAATGAGCAGTGCTTGGGGCTGAGGCACGTGTGTATGTGTGTGCGTGCGTGTGCGTGTGCACAGGTGTGTGTGTGCGCGTGCGTGTGTGCTGGGGAGGGGAGGTGAAAACCCCGGCCTCTTCCCCCACCCCCCACCCCCGGCGGAGCCAGGCCCTCGAGGGGCAGCAGCGGGTTTCCTCATCTTTCCGCCCGGCCCCGCCCCGTCCCGCCCGGCCCCGCCCCGCCCGGCCCCGCCAGGCCCCGCCCCGCCCCGCAAGGCCCCGCCCCCCCCCCGCCCGCCTCCGCCCGCGGGACAGCGGCGGCCACGCCTTGCCCTCCCACCGGGCCGGACGGAAGCGGGACTGCGCCCGCCCGGGGAGTGCCCGCCGCCTCTCCCTCTCCTCCCGCCCGGCCTCCTCCGCGGACGGGCAGGGAGCCGCGCGCTGCAGGGGAAGGGCAGGGGGAGGACTGGAGGGGGGCAGGAGGGGGGCAGCAGAGAGCTGCGGGGAGACGAGGGGCTGCAGGAGGCAGATGGCGGAGGGGGGAGCGGCGCAAGGAAGGGGGGCCGAGGAGGGGGCCGAGGAGGGGGAGCCGAGGAGGGGGCCGAGGAGGGGGAGCCGAGGAGGGCGGGCAGAGGAGGGGGCCGAGGAGGGGGAGCCGAGGAGGGGGAGCCGAGGAGGGGGCCGAGGAGGGGGCCGAGGAGGGCGGGCAGAGGAGGGGGCCGAGGAGGGGGCCGAGGAGGGGGAGCCGAGGAGGGGGCCGAGGAGGGGGAGCCGAGGAGGGCGGGCAGAGGAGGGGGCCGAGGAGGGGGAGCCGAGGAGGGGGAGCCGAGGAGGGGGCCGAGGAGGGGGCCGAGGAGGGGGCCGAGGAGGGGGAGCCGAGGAGGGCGGGCAGAGGAGGGGGCCGAGGAGGGGGAGCCGAGGAGGGGGAGCCGAGGAGGGGGCCGAGGAGGGGGAGCCGAGGAGGGCGGGCAGAGGAGGGGGCCGAGGAGGGGGAGCCGAGGAGGGCGGGCAGAGGAGGGGGCCGAGGAGGGGGAGCCGAGGAGGGGGAGCCGAGGAGGGGGCCGAGGAGGGGGCCGAGGAGGGGGAGCCGAGGAGGGCGGGCAGAGGAGGGGGCCGAGGAGGGGGAGCCGAGGAGGGGGAGTCGAGGAGGAGGCCGAGGAGGGGGAGCGAGGAGGGGGCCGAGGAGGGCGGGCAGAGGAGGGGGAGCGAGCGAGGAGGGGGCCGAGGAGGGGGAGCGAGCGAGGAGGGGCCCGAGGAGGGGGAGTCGAGGAGGGCGGGCAGAGGAGGGGGAACGAGGAGGGGGCCGAGGAGGGCGGGCAGAGGAGGGGGAGCGAGGAGGGGGCCGAGGAGGGGGAGCGAGCGAGGAGGGGGAGCGAGGAGGGGGAGCGAGGAGGGGGAGCGAGGAGGGGGCCGAGGAGGGGGAGTCGAGGAGGGGGCCGAGGAGAGGGAGTCGAGGAGGGCGGGCAGAGGAGGGGGAGCCGAGGAGGGGGAGCGAGGAGGGGGCCGAGGAGGGGGAGTCGAGGAGGGCGGGCAGAGGAGGGGGCCGAGGAGGGGGCCGAGGAGGGGGAGCGAGCGAGGAGGGGGAGCGAGGAGGGGGAGCGAGGAGGGCGGGCAGAGGAGGGGGAGCCGAGGAGGGCGGGCAGAGGAGGGGGCCGAGGAGGGGGAGCGAGGAGGGGGGCAGAGGAGGGGGAGCGAGGAGGGGAGCGAGGAGGGGGAGCGAGGAGGGGGCCGAGGAGGGGGCCGAGGAGGGGGAGCGAGGAGGGGGAGCGAGGAGGGCGGGCAGAGGAGGGGGAGCCGAGGAGGGCGGGCAGAGGAGGGGGAGCGAGGAGGGGGCCGAGGAGGGGGCCGAGGAGGGGGAGCGAGGAGGGGGAGCGAGCGAGGAGGGGGCCGAGGAGGGGGAGCGAGGAGGGGGCCGAGGAGGGGGAGCGAGGAGGGCGGGCAGAGGAGGGGGAGCGAGGAGGGGGCCGAGGAGGGGGAGCGAGGAGGGGGAGCGAGGAGGGGGAGCGAGGAGGGCGGGCAGAGGAGGGGGAGCGAGGAGGGGGCCGAGGAGGGGGAGTCGAGGAGGGCGGGCAGAGGAGGGGGAGCGAGGAGGGGGCCGAGGAGGGGGAGTCGAGGAGGGCGGGCAGAGGAGGGCGGGCAGAGGAGGGGGAGCGAGGAGGGGGCCGAGGAGGGGGCCGAGGAGGGGGAGCGAGGAGGGGGAGCCGAGGAGGGGGAGCCGAGGAGGGCGGGCAGAGGAAGGGGAGCGAGGAGGGAGAGCGAGGAGGGGGGCAGAGGAAGGGGAGAGAGGAGGGGGAGCGAGGAGGGGGAGCGAGGAGGGGGGCAGAGGAGGGCGGGCAGAGGAAGGGGAGAGAGGAGGGGGAGCGAGGAGGGGGCAGAGGAGGGCGGGCAGAGGAAGGGGAGAGAGGAGGGGGAGCGAGGAGGGGAGCCTGTGCTGAGGGGGCCGAGGGGACAGGTGCCGGGCCCTGGGAGGCCTGGCGCGGCCCGAACTCCGGGGACTGGGGCCGGGCCGGGCCTTCACCCGGGCCGGGCCGTGGAGGCCGGCTTGCTGTACCCCAGCCCTCCCGAAGCCCGCAGCCCCGCGCTGCCCGCTTCCCCTTCCCCCCCCCTGCCCCGCCCCGGGTGGGGAGGGAGCTGCCCTGGCCTGGCGGTGCCCGTGGGGGGCCTGGGGCCGACCCCTGACCCCTTTCCCGAGGGGTGAGGTCAGGACAAGGTCAGAGCCTGGAGTGCGGATGACAGGATGACAGGCCGGAACAGCAGCTGGGGAAAGGTGGGGTCTTCCCGGCCAGGCTCAGGGCTGGCTCTGGGTGGGACTGGACTTCCCAGGGCTCCGAGCCACCGACCTCTGAGGGCCAGAGCTGTGATGTTAGGGTAGTTGGTGTTGTCTGTACCCATTAGTGTGTACCCGAATGTGTCCTTGCTGTTCACTGTTCAACTTGGAATCATTTATTTTGGTCCCGACCCTTTCTGCTGCTGCTGGATTTGAGCTTCAGTGCAGGTGGAATGACATTCAAATAAAGAAACACTTTGTATCACGCGTGCTGGCTGCTGCCTGAGTCTCGCCCTAGGACCCAAGGGCACTTCTGTCAGTTCAACTGCATCTTAAGGCCCTACTACTGCGTCCTAATGAAAGTTTATTTTACTGCGGTGTTAAAACAACAACAAACAAACAAACAAAACGGCGTGACGGTACTCACCTGTGATCCCAGTACTTGGGAGGCTGAGACAGGAGGATCTCAAGTTTGAGGCCAGAGGCAACAGCCATAGGGCTAGAACAGGAACCTCCTGTGTGGTGCGTGGCCAGGTGTGTGGGGTAAGCAGATGGAGGACTGCTCAGGGAAAGAGCAGGGAGTGACTGAGGACCCGAAGGTCAGGAACACCTTCAGGAAGGACTGAGAGAACACAGCGACCCAGCAAGAGCATGTGACACGAGACGTTCCACAGCCCTCTTCCCTCAACCACGGGAGCGGCCATCTGAAAAGACAAAGCAGAGGTATACTTTACTCATCTCCTAGGAGTCTCTCAATAAAGTTGATCACCAAGGAAAAAAGGTGGGAGTGTTCCAAATGTTAGCAGGCCATGGCCAGCAAGAGTAACAGAAGAGATGACTGAAGGAGGCAGGAGGCAGCCAGCTCAGGGCACAGAGGCTGGAGGTAAAAGATAAAATAGATGTTCTAGCCAGGTGCAATGCTCACTCCATATACTCCCAGCTCCTTAACAGGTGGAGATAGGAGGAACAAAGTTTGGGACCAACCTAGACAAAGAGCTGCAAGACCTTATGTCAAAAATAAGATGGGGGGCTGGGAAGGTGGCTCAGTGGTAGAGCGCTTGCCTTGCATGCCTGAGGCCCTGGGTTCGATTCCTCAGCACCACATAAGCAAAAAGAAAAAAGCCGGAAGTGGCGCTGTGGCTCAAGTGGTAGAGCGCTAGCCTTGAGCTGAAGAGCTGAGGGACAGTGCCCAGGCCCAGAGTTCAGGCCCCATGACCGGACCTCCCCCCCCCCAAAAAAAAAATAATAAGATGGGTGCGATGATCCCTGTAATCCCAGCTACTTGGGAGGCAAAATTAGAAGAGGATTAGAGTCTAAGGCCAGCCTCCATGACAGGTCTTGAGGATGTAGTAACAGGAGGTTGTGGGTATTGGTGTAACCTGAGGAACAAGGTACAATGGGGAGACTCTGTGGAGCATCACTACGGGTGGGACATGAGAGACTCAGCAGCCAGTGACATGGCATGCAGGACAGGCGGGCTCCTGA